GTGATGGCATCCACAATCCAGTGGGCCATCCTCTGCTTAGAGACGGTCTTCCCCTTCTGCCGGCCTCCGTAATAGACAAAGAGCTGGTCTGAGGTCCTAAAGCTTTGTGTCCGGTCTACGTAGCATCTCATGGCTCGGACGGGACAGAGCAAAGCTAGGGCTGGGTCTGCCTCCTCCGGGGGCAGCGCTTGCAGGCTCACCACCTGATCCCTGAAGGGAGTAATGGAAACCTTGGGCACATAGCCAGGCTGGGGCCTCAGGATTACCTCGGAGCAAGCCGGCCCAAACTCTAGGCACGAATCGTGACCGAAAATGTGTGCAGGTCCCCTACCCTCTTGATGGAGGCCAGTGTAAGCAGGAGCAGAGATTTCATTGAAAGAAACTCTAGCTCAACTGACTGCAAAAGGCTCAAATGGGCCCTGCTGTAGTGTCTTAAGCACCAGAGACAGGTCCCAAGAGAGTATGGAGAGGGGCCGGGAAGGATTTAACCTCTCGCCCCCCTAAGGAACCTGATGACCAGGTCATGTTAGCAGCAATCCTTTTTTTTTAGTGACATAGACTTAAAGGGTGGAGGGAGACAGCCTTCGCTCCAACCCTTGCTGAAAAAAGGAAAGCACGACCCTGATTGGGCATCTCCGGGGGTCTTCTCGGTGAGAAGAACACCACTCGACGAACAGGTTCCACTTCAAGGCATAAGCGTGTCTCGTAGACGGAGCTCTCGCCGAAGTGAGGGTGTCAACTACCTCTTGAGGTAGGTCACCTAGAACCTCCGCATCCAGACATGAAGTTTCCAGAGTTCTGGACTCGGGCAGTTTTGTTGCAGCTGCTATATGCCCCAGGAGCCTCTGAAATAGTTTCAGTGGGACCGCTGTCCTGCCCTTGAATTAATTCAAGTAGGTCATTGTGCATTGGCTCGTTTAGTTACACTCGAAGTAGATTGGCCTCTCGAAGCGAGATCCCAATTCGTTGGTCTCGGAGCATCAGTCGGTCACGTGACACGGAGTGACTGACTGAAAAGGGAAATAAAACTATTTTTGAATGAAAAAAGCTATGATGAAAATGTATTGACATTTTCGTCAATGAATAAAAACTAGACGAAAATGTTAGGGGAGGGACGATTTGGGAAGAGATTCATTCAGAACGAATCTGCTGCATAGTTAGGAGGTTAGATGCGTACATATGAACCGGCGGGGCATAAGCTAACATACACTTGCTGCACGTCGCATAAAACGTTCAAAAATGTCAATATGTGGGAGTAAGAGAAGAGCAGACATAAAGATAAATCTGACGACGCAAGAGAGAATGTGTATCAGTACGTGTCATCCATTGCAGCTGTGCATTCGGGTTTAAAGGGACAGCAGCCTATTTTAGATGCTATTGTCCGAGTCATTGATGCCAATCAAGCAACAACAGAAAGACAGAAAATCACTCACTGCTCTTGACTGAAAAACTTTAGTAGCCCTAAAGATTACTCTAAATTTATTTATAGAAATGAATATTTCTGCTTGAAATAATGAAGAACATGGTAAACAAATTGCTATAAAGAATGCATAATTAGCCCATATAACCATTGGTATTTTATTAAAAAGAAGACCATGTTCTTGTTTTTTATGAGAAGTCGTTTTATTTAATCTTAACATAAAGGCACGTTGTGTGTCACCACAGTTAAATCGGTGTCTATCATGATAAAACCTTAATATCAAGTCAAGTCAAGTCAAGTCACCTTTATTTATATAGCGCTTTTAACAATACAGATTGTGTCAAAGCAACTGAATAGCATTAATTAGGAAAATAGTGTGTCAATAATGCAAAATGACAATAGCAAACACTAATTTTTCAGTTAAAGACAGTTCATCATTGAATTCAGTTATGTCAAAATCCAGCTCAGTTTAAATAATATCTTTGCAAGTCGACTAAAATCGTATGATATTTAGTCGACTAAAACTAGACTAAAACTAAAAAAATTCAGATGACTAAAACTAAAACTAAATCAGAATTTGCTGTCAAAATTAACACTGGTTCCTAGATAGATTATTTATTCATTTTATTAATAAAGAAATTATTTAGTGAAATATTTATTAATAACTAATAAAATAATAATAATAATATATTAAAATATATATTAAAATGTTAACCATAATGAAAAATGTAACAAGAATTGTGAAACCAAGAAGTAACATTATTTGTATTGTAAGGTATTGAAGAAAAATCTAATAAAATGAATTAAAATGTATTAAGAAAAAACAAATATTTAGCAAATTATATGTTTTATGGTGTTGTTTAAAAAATAAACTTTATTTTTAAATAGTTTTTTAATGTTATGGTTTATTTTTGATGTTTATTTAATGTTTATTTTTAGAACATTACAAAATCAGGATTTTAAACTGTATGTAGAAATTCCCCAACAAAAACATTCTTATATAGACTTCATAGAAATAAAACATAGCCTTATCAAACTAGAGGGCAAGTTAAATGTTATATAAATGTTATCTACATAATATGTGTAGTATTTTTATATAAATCTAATATTTTGTTTTAATTTAATATTTAGATAACATTTAGTTTGACTGATATGGACAGCCAGCATTTTTTGCTCTTTTCATGAAACATTTATTTAAAAGAAAAAGTTGTTTTAGGCTCTTTTTTGTACAAACTAAAAAAAACATTTTATTGATGTTGTGATGGTTTGAGTGTCTTTAAGGCTTCTTTCAGTAGTTAATTTGTATACAGTATGTTTAATTAGGTTTGATTATTTCATTCCAGAAATTCTTATATAATGTAAGTACCCCAATAAAAAATAATGGTGAGATGCTAAACAAGTCAAGGTCAATCATGTCAATAATGATTAAAGTTTATGTAGTGCAGTAGTGCACATGGCGCCCACAGGTCGTAGTGAGGCAAGGTTTGAGTCATCTGAATCCGAATTACTCTCTCATCATCTTAGAAACTGTTTTATACATTTTTAAAGGCATCAAGAGTTTATTGTGGTGTTGCTGTGTCTAAGTTGCTACCTTGGCTGTCTGTTGATTTCCTAGAGAAGTGGGATCAGTTTGTGACAGATGTACTGAAGTTGGGGTGCTCCTACAGTATGCCTCGAATTCTTCTTCTCCCAGACCCTGCTCTCCCTCCGGCCACTGGAGTCCTCGTGAAGCAGAAGGTAAGACTCAATAATGCTGCTGAATCCTTAGCCTTAAATATTATCCATAAACCCCACAATAGATGCCTTCTTCGTTTGACTGATATGAATTTTGAAATCAGATTTTTTTGAAAGCAGACTGACCAGGGGAGCATTGATAGCCAACTATGGTTGCAAGTCCCGTTGTGGTTACACTTTACTTGAAGGGGTGTGCATAAGACTGACATGACACCTTCATAATCATGACATGACACATACATAATCATGACATGACACATGTCATGAATATGAAGGTTTTTATGCATGTTTATGACAACTGTCATTAAGTGTCATTCACTCAGTTATGTAATTTTTAATGCAAAGATGACATTGTTTGAGATGTCTTTGCTATGGGCTATGATGACATAACTGAGCAAAGGTAGGGTTAGGTCAAATAATGTCATATTTGCATTAAAAATGACATAACTGAGCAAATGACACTTAATGACAGTTGTCATAAACATGCATAAAAACCTTCATATTCATGACATGTGTCATGTCATGATTATGAAGGTGTCATGTCAGTCTTATGCACACCCCTTCAAGTAAAGTGTTACCCCCGTTGTTACCAAGATGGCAAGGAACAAAAAACAGTGAAGAAGTAGTCTTTAGATGTCATGTTTGTTACAGCAGCACCCTAGTAAAAAATGCCATAATTTAAAATGCATTTATTTCATACTAAGTATACTTCAAAACCATTAGCATATTTATTGACGTATCTCTTTTGACTTACTGATATAAAATTAAGTATATCTTTAATGCACAATGCACATTTCTTAATGTTATGCCTAAAATGTGTTGTAATATCATAATAAATAAGGATTGTATGATCTCTGCATAATATCAGTCTTTAAATGCAAGATATTTAAAGTGTACCTGAAGTATACTTGCAATAGTTCCACGTTAGCACAATCAAATATACTTATACTTACAAGATATCTTTAGTTGCACCTCAGCACTACTTCCGCACAATTAAAGTGCATTAAGCAGTGCATTAATTCCAATTTAGCAGACTTTAAGTATACCAGTTTAGTATCCCAAAAGTACAATTGCAGTGTATTTTTATTAAGCACATAAATATGTAAATGTATTTGTAGTATACTTATAACAAAATAAATGTATTTAAATTTTAATATTTTTTTTCACTAGGAAATCTTGAATTGATCAATTAGTATAAGTTATTATTCCTCCACCTGCGCATGATTCATTAACAGCAGTCCTGTATCATTGAACCAATATGGTTCAAACCTTAGAGGTTTGTGATACTGTATGGTTTTGTGAAAACAGTCTTAGCTAGTTGGTTAGTTTCTCTAATGATGCATTGTACTGTGGTAGTTAATCAATGAGTTACATTGTATAGTAAACGCACACCAGTCCAAATTCGAAGGTAGAACGTCTCGGTTACGTATGGTAACCCTCGTTCCCTGAAGGAGGGAACGGAGACGTCACGTCGGATGACCGACGAATTGGGATCTCGCTTAGAGAGACTAATCTACTTTGAGTGTAAACTAAACGAGCCAATGCACATTGGCATGCAATTATTGCATCCAGCTGCTGCTGATCACAGCGTGAGTATAAGTAGGCAGCATTCGCCCAGCCTGCAGCCCTACAGATATCCACCAGCGAGACGCCACGAGCCAGCGCCCAGGAGGATGCAACACTTCTGGTTGAGTGAGCTCGCAACCTGAACGGGCAGGGCATACCCTGTGCCTGATAAGCAAGGGTGATGGCATCCACTATCCAGTGGGCCATCCTCTGCTACGAGACGGCATTCCCCTTCTGCCGGCCTCCGTGAAAGACAAAGAGCTGGTCTGAGGTCCTGAAGCTTTGCGTTCGGTCTACGTAGCACCTTAAGGCTCGCTTTGCGTCCGGTCTACGTAGCACCTTAAGGCTCGGCTGGGACAGAGCAAAACTAGGGCTGGGTCTGCCTCCTCCGAGGGCAGCGCTTGGAGGTTCACCACCTGATCGCTGAAGGGAGTAGCAGGAACCTTGGGCACATAGCCGGCCGGGGCCTCAGGGTTACCTGGGAATCAGCCGTCCCGAACTCTAGGCACGAATCGTTGACCGAAAATGCGTGCAGGTCCCCTACCCTCTTGATGGAGGCCAATGCCAGCAGGAGCAAAGTCTTCATCGAAAGGAACCTCAGCTCAACCGAAATCAAAGGCTCAAATGGGCCCTGTTGTAGTGCCGTGAGCACTAGAGTCAGGTCCCAAGAGGGTATAGAGGGGGGCCGTGGAGGGTTTAACCTTCTCGCCCCCTTAAGGAACCTGACGACCAGGTCATGCTTCCCCAGCGACCTCCCTTCTACGGGGTCGTGGTTAGCAGTGATTGCAGCGACATAATCTTTAAGGGTGGAGGGAGACAGCCTTCGCTCCAACCCTTGCTGCAAAAAGGATAGCACAACTCTGATCGGGCATCTTCGGGGGTCTTCCCGGCAAGAAGAACACCACTCACGAACAGGTTCCACTTCAAAGCGTAGGCGTGTCTCATAGACGGTGCTCTCGCCGAAGTGATGGTGTCGACTACCTCTTGAGGTAGGTCACTCAGAACCTCCGCGTCCCATCCAGGGACCAGACATGAAGTTTACAGAGGTCTGGACGCGGGTGCCAAAGGTTCCCCTGTCTAGTGAGTCAGTAAATCCTTCCTCAGAGGAATCGGCCAAGGAGGGGTTGTCGCGAGGAGCATTAGTTCCGGGAACCAGGTCCGGGTAGGCCAATAGGGTGCCACCAACAGTACCTACTCCTCGTCCTCCCTGACCTTGCACAGCAACTGTGCAAGAAGACTCACTGGGGGAAACGCATACTTGCGAAGGCCCCACAGCCAGCTGTGTGCCAGTGCGTCCGTGCCGAGTGTTCCCTCAGCCAGGGAGAAGAACAACTGGCAGTGAGAGGTTTCTGGAGAGGCAAACAGGTCTACCTGAGTGGCTCCGAAACGTCTCCAAAGCAGCTGGACCTGTGGATGGAGTCGCCATTCTCCCGGGAGCGCAGCTCGGAATAGCTCGTCGGCTGCCCGGTTGAGCAGCCCAGGAATGTGAACAGCACGAAGCGACCTCAGATGCTTCTGACTCCAGAGGAGGAGGTGGCGGGCGAGTTGCGACAAGTTGATGTGCCAGTGCAGTTGGGGCCCCGTCCAAACCCCTGACACTGCAAGCCCGTTGTACGTGGCCCCGCAGCTGGTGGTTGAGGCATCCGTGCAAACCACAGCATGCCTGGAGACCTGCTCTAGGGGCACTCCTGCCCGGAGGAATGCAAGGTCTGATCACGGGGTTAAGGTTTGGCGGCAGAAAAGTGGACCCAGAAAGTGCCGCGTTACCAAGCCCACCTCGGGACTCGGCCATGGAGCCAGTGCTGCAGCGGTCTCATATGGAGCAGCCCTAGTGGCGTGACTGCCGCCGTAGCTGCCATATGCCCCAGGAGCCTCTGAAACCACCACCCTGAGAAACCAATCGTCCAACCTTGAGGGTTCGGGATGCGGTGAAAGATTCCACTTGAGCCCGACACTCTCGGCAGGCAACGGAGTCTGGTCCGCAACTCCGAGATGGTCATACCCCCGCAATGGGAGCATGATTCATCCATGAAAGCCACCTCAGCGTGCTTCATGCCCAGACACGAAAGGCAGCGATCGTGACCATCACCCGGTGCCAGGTAACGACCGCACCCAGAAACACACAGATGGTACGACATCTTTAAAAAGACGTTCCACCCGTGAAGGTCTTTTAGATGGAATTTGCTATTTTAGTGTGCTGAAGCGCACAGGGGAGATAGCCATCTGCAACACACACAGGGGTGGTACAGCCTGTTGTGTGCAACCCACTCAACACGGGAAAACCACTACCGCTGAAGCGCCGTCCACCAGCACGAGAGCCCACGAAGAGCGTGCTTGACTGTAGTTTGTACTACTGTAGAACTTGGTCAGGAGCAGAACGATAGAACCGCTCGGCTCCGAAGCGAAAAGCTGATTAACAATCTGTTTATTAACAATAGCATAATAACTTTTTAACGGTTGAATTCACAATCACATTAAGTCATAATAAATCTCAATGCATATGATGAGACTTACAGGCCATTTAGTGGTTTTGTTAGTGGCCTATTTGAATTCTTTTAGGAGGTTTCCTGTTTGGATTTAAGCTGGCTACTTTGGCAAACTGAAAGAGACCTGTTTCTGTTGACACTTGGAAATTGTGTTCAATTGGTGAGTGCAGTTCTAAACCATTAATGTGCCGTTTTATTGAGTGGGATAAATGATTAAAGCATTGCACCCAATTCAGGATGCCAAGTGAGGCCAATATTGGATGGAACAGCAAAGTAATCTATGAGGAGAAGAACCAAAAAGTGTGGAAAAAATTAGTCATAGGAGTTGTCATAAATTTCGATTTTCTCATGTGTTTATTTTAAGGCTAGAAAAATGTGGACATATGGAAGAATTGGTCCATAGAGCTTTGTGCACATAAATGAATGTTTTTTACCACGGGGAATGAGTCATGTTTTCCTGCGCAGTATCAATTATCTTGCCCTCGAAGTTCAACCTTTGATCTTTGTATCACAGAATGAAGCCAAACTGCCATGGTCAAGCTATTCTTATCGAAATTCCAAGGCATCCATTTTTTTATTCCATTATTTTATGAGTGCAAAGTATCTGTATAATCTACCCAAGCGCTGAAGAAGCACTAGGCCCTAATGGCCATGACATATGCCCACTATTTTAGCTCAAACTGCAAAAGCTCTTGAAAAAGTGAATTGGACTTGACATTGAAATGTTGAAAACAACTTCAGAGACCTACATTCCAGAGGCCGGCTGTTTTTCTGTTTAATTACTTAACCACTTCATTTGGTTTGCTTTTAAAAATGGGTGAGCCGTAAGTGCATGCTTGTATCCCTCCAAGCCAAGTTGGCCCAGCAGTGGCTTCACGCAGTCAGCTGAGAAGGCATGCCCAGGCTTGCCATGGCCACAACGCTTTAACTATGCTTTGCACTTGGATGGCTTCCCTGGTGTACTCCATTGCCCGGGCCATCTTTCCACTGTTTACAATCGGATACAAAACCTGACTTTGACGGCCTGCAGCTGGTTTGAACCTCTGCGCTTTACCGCTCTCAGAAAATCACCTGCCTGCAGTGCTCACCTCATCCAATGTATGCTCCCTGTCCTCAGTCATCTAGGTTAAAAAAGCAATTTTTCCTCTCATTCGAGTGTCCTTAGTTGACTTTTTGGAAACGATGCCCTTATAGTGTTGCTGGAATTCAATAAAAGAGCAACACCGGCACAACAAATAGATGGATGCGAGAGTGCTGTGCAAAGTCAACTCGATTTGCTATGCAAATTACTCTGTGGTTTCTTGTGCTCATGAGAAAGATCCCACAGTTGATTGAAAACATGAAGAAGATGAGAATGAATGTGAGACACAAAACCAGGAATGCTAGGAATGACTCGTATTTCCATCCCACTCTTACCTCAACGCTTCGTTTGTCTGCCGTGCCCCCGTTGCCCAGATCCTGATTGTGTCAGTGAGTCTTGCAGACCGGCAGGAGTTTCCAGTATGACTATCAGTAATCTTTTTTTTTTTTTTTTTAGATCTGAACTTTTTGGTTTGTTTGATGTGAGTTTAGTTCATTTGATGAGAGGCTTATTATATAACTTATTGTTTTATTTTGGAAAGTCCAGTTCTGCTTGATGGCTTGCACTATTTCTGGCTTTGTCCTTTTCCATCTAATATTTCTTCTAATATTCCCTTGATCAGCAGCTGAGGTACATGGGGGATCTATGTGGGAGACATTTAGCAAAAATTTTGGTATTTGATACTGCAAAAGTGCATCTAGTTTCAGAACATCCCAGTTTGTTTTGGCCATCTAACTGAGCAACAAATACCCACCCTAGAACAACGGTGATATCGGAGTCAGACATGCGAGGGAGGTTACCTAGATGCTTGGTTTAACCAAATAAACATTAACAAAACTTTTGCCCAATGCTTTTGCCATTTGTCATTTAACTTGTAGTCAGACTACAAATTAAGCTTGACTGAGGGCAACCAAAATAAATTTGAAAGAAACTTTTACCTCACCTTTTTTCCATTCGTCATGCAAACAGTCAGTTCAAAAAACACAATTTTAAAAGCAACAGTGGCTTTAAAAAGGGATGCTTAAGCCATACTTAAAATGTATAAATGTCATTAAAGTAAACATTTTTGTTTAGAATTTTTTTTTTCTTGTTGGTTTTTATGCATTTTTCTCATCATAAGATCAACAGTCATACAGAATACATACACACACATTTTAGACAGGACCAGAAGCAAACCAAAATAAATAAATAACGGCAGAGCAGATATAAAATACAAAGGTATACATTATGGCAGTCATTGGGCATCTTCAAGAAAATCCCACATGGAAGTTTTTCTAGTGCAAGAATATTAGCATGATTTATCCATGTTTTAGTTTGTCAGTTTTTTTTCAGACAAAAACAACAGATGTGCTGTTCAAGATTAAGATAAAAAACTAATAGGACACTTTCTGGTTGTGATTCATTTGCCTTAAGCCTTAAACACTACAGGAGTTTTAGGCCGATTTATATTTTCTTGTCGAGGGCCTTGGTCGGTTTCCGATGTTCAACACGGCAAATGTGAGACATTTCCTCCATCTCCACTATTCAACGGACCCGTAAAGCAGCTTGTTTTGTGGTTGCGCATTGGTTATTGTGAAAGTACTGATGTAATTGTGATCATCCTGATTTAAAATCCTAAATATCAAACATGTTTGATATGATCGGGGAGGTCCTAGTTTGTGTGCGAGCAGGTCGGGAGGTGCAAAATTCGATCTGTAAATGCCTCATATTACCAGATAATCCACACCGAACACCGGAACCGACCGAGGTCATCAACAAGATGTTTTTCTCTGATTCTTGGGAGGAGGAAATTGGGGATAAATCGGCCTAAAACTGGGATATGAGATCGGCCTAAGTGGGATATAGTGAAACATGTTCACAGTTAATGTGATGAGCTACACCTCTGATTACTCTGCTAGGAAACGTTTAAACTTGAGGAGAACTGACTTCATACATCCACTAAAATCACTTCAACACCAGTTGGTTAAAAGTCATTGCCAAAAAGGTTCAGGAAAATGAGGCTAGTTCTAAGAAAAATTCTAGCATCATATATTTTCAGGTGCCATTTGGTATTTTCATAGCCAATGCCATCACACATATTTAAGTGAGTGTCCAAATTGTATTGTTTGCATCTCCTTAGTGGTGTTTTAAATCATGGTAATTCAGAAATATTATTCAGAAATATTTTTGTAAATATTTATTTTGAAATATTTAAGCTATATATGCCAGCTTTATTCTGCAAGCCAACAAAGGTGGATGGAATTAAATCAATAATGCTCTACAGAAACTCATCAATGTAATATACATTTATAATTATCTTTTAGTATGGCTGCAAGCTTGTAGCTATTGGCCACTGCTGTAGGTTTCATTTAAAGGGGTCCTATTATGCTTTTTCAACTTTAGTTAGTCTGTAATGTTGCTGTTTGAGCATAAAAAAGATCTGCAAAGTTACAAAGCTCAAAGTCCACTTCAAAAGGAGATATTTTATTTAACAGAAATCACTTTTCAAAAACTACAACGAACGACTCGTTTGGACTACAATGCATATTTTCCGGGATTTGTCACAAATATCGATGAACGGGACGAGACCTGCTTGAGCTGCACTAGAAAAGGCAACGAGTGTTATCACTATGTCGGAGACACACTAGCTTTCTCAAAGCAGACGAACTTAGAGTGGTTACAATCATCCGGGTTTAAATCGCGCTCAAATTGAATTGATTTTGACACAATATTTACACTGAAGCTCGCAGGCGGCTATGGTGAGGGGCATGACATTTCATGACCAGGTGCCGAGTGGTGCCAATCACAACACACACTGGCCCAGCTAACCAATCACAGCACATTTCGTGTTTCAGAAGGCGGGCCTTAATTTGATACAGGAACTATTCGAGCCGTTCATGCCAGACTGAGGAGAGAGGTGTTGTAATGTAAAATATGTCAAAAATAATGTGTTTTTTGAACAACCTAGTATGAGAGCCTGTTCTAGTACACCCCCGAATCAAAATCAAGACTTTGTAAAAGAGCATAATAGGACCCCTTTAAGTACATTGTCCTTCAGAGCTTCAGTGGGACCTCCCTGTCAATCTTACCCCCTCTCCGGGCCCCTCCCCCTTCAGCTGCCTCACAATGACCTCTTGACAGTTTCTAAAAAGGAAAACTGGTCCCAGGGCCAGAATTCTCCCCATGACCTCCTGCCATCTTACTGAAGAACATCATTTGGCCCTCTTAGAAACTGTTTGTTTGTTTTTGAAATGCCATTCATTAATCCAAGAACCCAATAATTGGATGTAATTGCAAAAGTCATTGCAATTGATATTGCTCAGGATTATTATTTTTTATGTTCATCTGTAAATAATTAGCAATTCTTGCTAAGGCAAACATGGGTATTATTACTATTGGTCATACTTAGGTTTAAGGATTTATCCACATTGCAGTACCCTGGCAAGGACACTAGGATCCTGGTGGCGTTAATGTACCCCTCTCATTTTCATAACCTCATAGTGTTTAAGAGGAAGTAACATGACATTAGCTTGTGCTACCAAATTTGAAACATGCTGACTACACAATACAGACTTGGTTTTTATCCTTGGGTCCACCAAAAATAGAAAGATTCAGTATAAGAATTGACTCATTTAGAGTCATTTGTCTGTGAATTACACGGCTTAGGCTGTATGTTTCTGATTCACTAAAAAGAATAATTTCATAAGAGTCATTTGTGTGTAAATGGGACACTGTAAAATCTGCAAGTACATTCAAATATAAAAACGTATAAGTAATCTTCAAATTTGTACTGTTTTCTTTCTCCAAACCCTATTTGTGAATTTCTGCAATGAATTCAGGATAACTTCTTGAAATAACTAAACAGTCATGAAACTTAAAGAAGTAGGATCCAATTTCAAATGGCCTCTTACAATCTGTAAAAATGGTGGGCCTATTGAACATTCATTATTTCTTTTTGGCAACATTACTATTTGCTTTTAAGGGTTTTTCAACCGCATAGTAATACCCTGGCAACATCCTGGCAGCATCTCATTTTCATAACCTCACAGTGTATAAGGGGAAATAATGACATTAACTTGTGCTACCAAGTTTGAAACATGTTGACTAATGAAGAGAGGTTTGGTTTCATTCTTTGCTCTCCTCTTTAGGTCCACCAGATGTAGAGCAGGCCTGTGAAGCGAGCGTCAGCACTTGGAGCCCCAACGCCGGCCTAGACTCGAGTAGTGTTGGCTCAGCATCTTGCCCACCCCAGGGCTGTATGCTGCAGCTCGAGTTTGCCTATCCGCTGGTGCCTGACTCCCTCACTGTTTGGGTCACTTTCTTCTCTCCAGAGGAGACTGGACTGCCTGCAATCCACGACATCCTTCTGCTGACCCTCAGTGGTAACAACATCTCGCTGGGCCCACAGTATGTGTTCTGTGACACACCGTTGACACTTAAGCTAGATGTGAAGGAGGAGGTGTATGGGGTGCAGTTCTTCACCATGGAGCAGCACTTGGAAATCGACGCCACATTGCTTGCCTCAAAGCCAGACAATCCTCTGTGCAGATCGAGTCATCCTCTACGCTATAGACTGGTTCGACAGCCACCATTCACACATTCACCATATGGGCTGATCCTTCAGGAACCCACTCTGAGATATGTGGACAGGTAAGGATTAGGGGTGTATATGTTATTTATAACTACTACAGTGTTTATTAATATTTTTGAATTAGCAATTTTTATACTTTCACTTTTCATTTTCCTTTTAGTTAATTTTTTTGTTATTTTATTGTGTGCTTTAGTTATTTTTATTAGTTTTCTTTGTAATATTACTTTTAAGGTTTAATTTATTTCCGTTTTAGTTTTTATTTATTTTATTTCCAGTTAGTATTAAACTAAATACAAATGGGAAACTGAAAAAAAAGTTCATAAGATTTTAAGAAGTTAAAATATTCATATATTTAATTTATTTCAGCTTTATTTAAAAAATGTTTTTATAGTTTTAGTTCTAGTTTTAACAATAATATCCCTGGATCTGACACCTATATATGATATTTGACAGCATCTCAAACATGTCCTGACACGGTTATGATTTGATTAGATTCAGGGGCCTGTGATAACAATATTATAATAGTATTTGCCTATTTTACACAACCAGTTAATTTTTTTTAATTAAAGCTCACAAATGCAACCAAAATATATAATGAACATGTAATTTAACTCTGTGAAAATTGCAAATCCTTTATCCAAATCGGGATATTCACAATAAAAACACTTTGATACAGAACAATAAATGATGGGGAAAAATCATGTTGCACATGAGATCATGAATCATTTAATGACAGCTCATCATTGACTTGTTCAATGAAATAAGCAATGACAACAGTGAGGAAAGTCTTTTAGTTTTCTGTGCTTCCCATGACTTGAGTTTGACAGGAGAGACAGCAATGCTAGGTTGCTGCATCATGATCATCTATCTGGCACTTGCACATTTTAAAAGAGAATGCACATCTTGGTGGAAATACGTAGAACAGTCACTGGACAATGTGTGGAAATATGACTAACATCAAAAATAAAAGTTCAAAAGTTAATCTTAAAAAGATCGATTTTAGGTGTTGCATTGATACATTGTATTGTTGGTCATTTGATTGATGTATAGGTCCATATAAATGTATTGTTACGGCCCCCAGTAAGGATGAAATATTTGTCCCTCTATTATGAATGATTTGTACTGGAAAACTTAGACGTATGAACTCTTAAAGAGGCTCTGAAAAGTTTTCTTTTGCGTGTCATCATGACTGCCAACATAAACAAATAATGACTGAATGCGCTAACACTATTCAAGACATTTCTAGGAACACTGGCTCATGATGTTTTAGCTTTTGCCATGTGTTGATGTGCTTTGCCGTTGTATGAATGTCTCTTAGGTACTATGCGTGAGGTCTTCAAACATATCCTTTACTCCTTGGGCTGGGGGTTCAGGTCAGCTTGAAGAATTTCACAGCCAGTTTGTTGTCATCTGAGAGATACATGCTGAAGTGTTCCCAGGCAGTTTAACTTCATGGGATACTCATAAATTCTGAGTGGCCACAAAACAGTTGGAGAGTGTTTGAAGAGCCTCTGCCTCTTTGATAACAGCAGAAACAGGCAGACTGTCAGATTGAAAGGCTGACAGATAGACTCCAACTAGATAGATAGATAGATAGATAGATAGATAGATAGATAGATAGATAGATAGATAGACAGACAGACAGACAGACAGACAGACAGGCAGGCAGGCAGGCAGGCAGGCAGGCAGACAGACAGACAGATAGATTATATTTTTTATGTTTATGTATATGTATTTGAACAATATAATATTATGAAGGTTTTGTCAGACTGATTTAAATGGTAAATCCTATGTTTGTGAGTCTTTTTAAATGATTGAGTTAAAGGATTGACTCAATTAGAGTTTTTTTTATAAGTCGGACTACACAGCTTATGCTATGTTTTTGATTCACTACAAATAATCAGTTCATAAGAGTCAATTGTTTGTGAATCAGATTACACTGCTTGTGCTGTGTGTTTTTGATTCACTAAAAATAATCAGTTCATCAGAGTCATTTGTGCGTGAATAAGACAATGCTGTATATTGTGTGCAGTCTGCAAGTACATTTACATGTAAAGATATTTCGGATTAATTGGCAATGTTTCCTTTTTATCCTTTATTATTCTTCAAACAAAAGTTGTGAACCTCCACAATTATTTCGGGATCATTTCTTGGAATAACTAAAGTATGAAACTTGACTTTTTAAAATCTGTAAAAATGGCCTATTGGGCATCCATTTTTTTCTGTCAGGGAAATATGCCTCTTATTAATAAGACATTAATGAAGACTTTAGTCATTTAGTAGGCAGGCATTGTGTCTGCTTCCTTTTGTGTTGGACTTTTTTTCCAGAGCTTCTGAATGCTGGGCCCTCCAACAGAACAAGACCACACCTCAGTTGACAGGCTAGATAATGTGTACATTAGCTTTCACAAAAAATCTACTCAGTGCATATAAACAAGACCCAATGTGAACCCGCTGAACTTCACTGTCCTCACACTGGGCTGTTTTGGGTGTCTTTTCTTGTTTCCAAAAAGTTGAAACTACAGTAAATACAGTGACAGCTGCAGCAGCAGTATGTTAGGAAAAGACATGAAGATATTTTCATCTTAACAAATAAATATCTAGATATTTTTAAATAAAGTCTTTAAAAAAAGTCTTAACTCTTTGCAGAACTAAAGTAGTATTTATATTGACATATCCAAACATAGATTAAAGCTGTGTTTAGTTTGTAGTAGCACAATCCAAGTTGTGTTAGCAAGGTATGCAGATCCAGCCAACAGCTTAATCTGCTTAGATAATGTGGTTTTTTAATTGAAAAGGTTTGTTTTATGTATTAATGCTGCACAGCTGTATTCACCAGATGGTGAGAAAATGTATCAGTGTATCAGCAGGCTCTGGGATCAGCGAAAAACTCCCCGCATCTGAAATTCATAAACGCAGAGCGAAAGTGCTGTTGAGAAAGCTGTTGTGAGGAGTAATACAAGATATTTCAGAAAGACTTGCACTTCAGCTAAAAGCTAAATCCAGGAAATTCATTATTCAGTATCAGCACAAGTGATTCCTTGAGTTAGGCTTGCTCATGGGAATTTTACAGTAACTTCTAGATCTCAGACTTTTTTGAGTACTGTTTCATTATTGCACTGAGGCTGGTCTAAAGGAATTTACTGCAGTGTTTGGCTTCGGTATGAACAACAAGTCCATATTCCCACAATAATATGGAAAGAGAGGTGTATAATTAAAATATAAAATAATATATAAATCAGAATAAAAGTCTGTACAAATCATAAACTACAATATAAATGTAATACTGTTAAATTGATAAAATTTTGGGAGTTTTTGAATGCTTTGATTTGATAAAAAATAGCCTATAATAAAAACTCTAATGTTGTGAAATATTATTACTATTCTTATTATTGAATAATTTAAATATTATTACAAGTGATAATGATATTACAGTTTAGTTTCACATGATTCTTCATAATTATTCTCATATGCTAATATCATTCTAACATGATATTTAAAATAGAAATATTCTTTGAATATTTAAAATACAAATATGTTGTAACATTATAAATGTGAATGTCTATATATTTTTTATTTTATTTTATTTAATTTTGTATTATTTATTTATTTTGTAGTGGAGCAAGTGAAAATGAAGACAGGGCAAGTAAAAGTTACTATATAAAAATATATAAAAAGTGAAGCTAAGCTGTTATTGAGTTATAGGTATGGAGTTGTTTCTCAAAGACTCCTAGGAAATGTTACTAAATTAACAGGAATCATTTGATGTGATTAGAACAGTTTACTACCTGAAATGAAAAGTATTGCAGGCATGATTCTTGTCAGTTATTTTGTCCTATTGTTATTGTTATCTGTTTTTCTCACTTCTTCTCCCTTTCAGTCCTCAATGTGGGTGGCCTTTCCTAATCCTTCATCGCTTTATGATGATTCGCTAGAGATCGTTTTCATATCGTCCAGGAAAACAAGGGCCATAAAAGGTTTTGTCAGCTCCAGAGTGGCGCAAAATTACATGGCCATTTCATCCTCCAGGTGCAAGCCTAGTTCGGCTCCAATAGAGGCAGGCAATCACTCATTGTGACCAGTGAAAGCAGCCCCAATCAAAGTGGTGTCTGGCTAAAAGAGGCAGGCTTCCTAATGAGAGCTCTTCAGTGTAGCAGGGGAATGTGCTATAATATCGGATCTCAGCCAAAGAACAGCCGCTATAGATCACTGCTGCTACAGTATGGAGAGTGATTAAGCAGCATGGCCTCTGAGAACCTCCATACTGCTTCACACACCCCTGTTTTCATTTGCAGATTTATCAATATGATTATGTCACAGGCCAACAAGACAACGTGTTGTGAAAGAATACACTCAACCTACAAATCAGTGCTGTGTGTTGTAAGCATGCACAAGATATGCAGATTTAGCTTTGTCTTGTGCATTTTAAGCTATAGTTCACCCAAAAAATTAAAATTTTGTGATTAATTACTCCCCTACATGCTGTTCCAAACCCATATGCTGCTGTTTTTGTTTGTAAAATGCAAAATGTGAACTTTCTTAACATTCTTTACTCAGATTTTTTTTTTTTTTTTTTGCAGAATCTTTTTTCATTTTTCCATAACTTTTTTTAATGACACGAGGGAAAATGTGCAGTATGTATGTGTGGATAATTCTTTGATGAATAATTGCTTTAAAGCTGTGAAAAACATGCATGATTCATGACTTCAGAATAGTATCCATTCACAAGCAAGACATTCTGGGTTAGACATCTGTGTTTGTGCAGTGTCTCTTTGTTTTCCTGTAGTAATCTGAAGAGATTACGTATTACCTACTTGAAGGTCAACATTGCAAGAATTTCACATTTTCCTCCAGAGCTGTCATGGATTCCAGCGGCGCGTTTCTCTTTCCCATAACTTTTTTTAATGACACGAGGGAAAATGTGCAGTATGTATGTGTGGATAATTCTTTGATGAATAATTGCTTTAAAGCTGTGAAAAACATGCATGATTCATGACTTCAGAATAGTATCCATTCACAAGCAAGACATTCTGGGTTAGACATCTGTGTTTGTGCAGTGTCTCTTTGTTTTCCTGTAGTAATCTGAAGAGATTACGTATTACCTACTTGAAGGTCAACATTGCAAGAATTTCACATTTTCCTCCAGAGCTGTCATGGATTCCAGCGGCGCGTTTCTCTTTCATTCATAGAGCGTATAGTAAGGACCACTTGATGGATCTCTTGAGTTGAGTTGTGGTCTGACCAAACATCTGTGGTTCGGTAAATTATATGATTGAGGTTGTGTTGTTGTTTTATTTAGCCATATGAAATCTGATTTTGATTTTAAATGACAAATTATTTCCACTCCTTTGAAGTAATTAAGTTTTAGATCATCATTCTCCTCCTAAACACTTCAAGCGGCGAGCAGCTGCACAGAGGGCTTGGCATTATGAGATGCATCTCTTTGATTTCTTTTGAAGGTAGACAGCGAATACTATAATATGATTTTTCCAACATCTGGGCTGAAAGAGAGGAGTACCTTCAAAAAAACTAAGGAGGATGAGTGTGCTCCTCTATAGAGCTCAATTACAAGCAACAGAAAAGACAGACTTGTATATCTCACTCTTCTGCTAGTTTGTTTCAAAGTCCATCTGCATTTAAGTGCAGACCACATTGCACACAAAAACAACAAAACAGGAAATTACATCATAGAGAGGAACCCTGCAGACCCTCGTGACTGTGTGTCAAGGCTTTTAAAATATCAAATAATTTGTTGTTAGTTCAGGTTGTAAAATGTAATGTGGGGTGACCTCCCCCAAAATTTAATATCTATTATTTAATCATTTATATTTGCAAAAAAAAAAAAAAAAAAAAAAATTCTAATTTATTTAGATGCACCTGTATATATTGATTTATATTACTTGATTACACCACATTTTTGTCATTAAAATTAATTCTTTAAATTTTTGTGTCTTTTGCAGCATCTTGTGTATGACACGGCATTCTAAAAACACAGCACTCATGTTAAAATAAGTTGAACTTTAAAAAAATTATAATAAAAAAAATTATTTTTTAATGCAAAAATACAGTCTGTGTGAATGGCTCCTTATAAATCATTAACCTATATGGTAATTTGGGAAAGAAAAGAAACTCTGGAGAGATGAAAACCTACAAGTGTTGATAGAAACCAACCCATTATGATTTCAGGAATTGAAACCGGTCATATTTATGCCCAGAGATTTTAGCTGCTTTAGTGTCTGGTTACCGTCTTGCTTAACTAAACGTGTGCTTCCTGAACATTGTCAGTGCTGCACGCTCCCACCCTATTGACTTAAGAGCTGCATGTTTTCCCACACTACTGCGGGGTATCCCGCACTGGAATAGTGATGATGTCATGAGCTACCACAAATTCCAACACAGAGGCTCGAAAAACATTGTTGTCATCCGAAAACACGAACACAGGAAGGTGCTGTGGCACATCGCAACGTTTGAGCTCCAGGGATTCTCCGAATTATTACTCGTGTGCGACTATGGAATTTCATTTGAACGTTGTCTTCTTGTACTGTGTCTTTGTATGCAGGCTGGCTTATAAAAAGTTTTATATCAGCAGGTTTATTTTTAAGAATGATCATCACTGAGTGTTTTTAGTATTGCTCAAAAGCTCCAATAAATGATTATGATTTCACAAACAAACAGCCTCGCCGCAAATTCGTAATGTAGCCACAAGACATTGATGGCTAAATTGATACTTAGTCGATTCAACGGGCAAAATATCCTTTCCTCGTTGTGGAAGCCAAGCCAACGGTCTACCTCAGGAGTCACTGTGGCTGTTAAGGATAGCAGCAGTACTCTTTTAGCTTTGCTCTGCCTCTCCACAACAAACATGTCTTAGAAAAACACAGCCACAAGACCACATTGCGGGCCAAGATCTTCCTGCTCTTGCCTTTGGGGGTTGGCTCAGACTCCGCGTGCAGTTCAAGCGAAGTGTCCTCTGGCACTCGGCGGTTCTCACACCACTGAGGCTCTCTGACCCATATTTGACTGTTTGGGAAGTCTGCAGCTGGAGGATCTTGTGGGGTTTTAGAGCCTCATGGTGGAGCTGATTGAGTCAAGTATACCTGAACCAGCTGTGAGGCTTTCCGCACACTGCGCGATCCCTCCAAGTTTGTGTTCCTGCAGGCAGAAAGTTAAAGCGGTGTAAAGGATCTGAGAAGCACATGTGCAGACAGAGGTTAAAGGGTTGATCTGAGTCGCGATTAAAATGTTTTCGTTAACCCGAGCCCCATAAGCGGCTGGATCGATAACAGAAAGATATTTTATTTATTTATCTTTTTTAAGAAAGAATTGGAGTTAAGGACTAGTAACACAGACAGATGGGCGTATTGTCCGAGAGAAAAGTGCCTGCCGTACCTCCCCCTCTGCCTCCCAGACTGATCCTGCGCTCCCTCCACCTCCATTCTTCGTCGCTCTATTCATGGCAATTCATTGTGAGGTGAAGATAAATAGAATGAGAGCGGAAATGCATTTTATGGGACGAGGGGGTCTTGGGTCATTTGGGTGGTCCTATGCTGAGCTTAGAGGCCTGATCCCGGCACAGATGATGACTAGAGCTTTACTTTGCTGATTCTTGTGCTTCGTGTACCTGAAGGGTTGTATTACAGTCATGATGAGTGCCGAGAGCTCAGAGTGCGTACAGCACGCTTTGTACTCTACGTAGAGTCACATTACAGTAGCCATCCTTTCTTAGCATCTAATTGTTGGTGCTTGACGATGAAAGGGGACAGTTTGTTTCGCACGGAATCCCTTAAATTAAATGCACTGAGTGGTTATCGCCTTATATAATGGCAAACACTACAACTGTCTCATAAACACTCATTCCGAAGCAATTTTCCATCTCTCAGTTGTAAATATTTAAAGAGTATTAATGTAGGTAGAGATAAACAGATTGCTTTTAAACTAACTAAACTACCTTGTGATCAAACTTTTATCTCTAATAAAACATTTGAAAACCCTATTGAAACATATGTACCCTACCATTACAAAGTTTCGGGGGTTGGTAAGATTTTTTTTTTTTTGTACGTATTTGAAAGAAGTCTCTTATGCTCACCAAGGCATTTAGAAATGTTTTATTAAATTTATTATTATTATCATTAATGTCGAAAACAGCTGTGCTGTTTCTCTTTTATTTTTATTTATTTTTTATATAATTTTTTTATGAAAACCATTTTTTTTTCAGGACTCTTTGATTAATAGAAAGTTCTAAACAACAACATTTTTTTCTTTTTTTTTACATTATACATTTTTACTGTCACTTTGGGTAATTTAATGTGTCCTTGCTGTGTAAATATATTCTCATTGACCTCAAACTTTTGAATGGTAAAGACCCACAACCTTTTAATTGACTACAGTTTTAGGAGTGCAAGCATTGGGGGGTTGGGTTTCTCTAAACCACCCCATAACTTACATAGTGCATAAAAGTTTAAGAACATACTAATAGTCCTTGTTTATGTGTTCCAGGGACTTAAAGCCTGATGAGACGTACACCTACCACGTGCTGACAGTGTCTAGAAGAGCGGAGAGTGAACCATCTCCTCCTCTCTCTCACCAGCTGGGCTCACCCTACTGTGGAGATGGACTCATCCAAAAGTGAGTTCACTCTCTAAACTTTCACTGCATTCACTATAAATCTAACGGAAATGAAAAATGTACATATCCTTGTGGTTTACTGCAACCACTGTGGGTGACAATGATTATATCCATGTTATGAAAATAGTAGGGATTTAATGATTCACTCAATTCACAATGCGATGTGATTCAAAATACTGATTTCATTATATGATTTTATCATGATTTTTTTCAACAAAATGAAAAAAATGATAAATGAAAAGGTGTCCTTTTATACTGCTTGGACAAAATACTGCACATTTCTTTGTGAAATGAAAATATGTAGAATAACATAACTAAATTTAAATTTTAAAACAAACTCCAAATCAAATACATAAATAAATAATACAAATAAAAGAAATCTCTTCATATAAACAAACTAAGGCTTTGCCTGTGCTCTTTCCATTTAAATTAGAGGCAACCACTGTATTTTAATCTTAATCCAAGCATGAGCAGTTTTTAATCTAAATTAGATTGTATAATTTTGATTGCAGAATATAAAAGCAGAATGGTCTGCTTTTAGTTTTGTGAAACTACACAGTAAAACATCTGAAGGAATCAACAGCAGCAGACGTGCTGATTGAGATGCAAATTCAGTCTCTGACAGCAGGTGACATTTATGGAACAGCAGTAATACAGCGTTTCCTTGGTTGCTGCTGTAAACAAAGTAGCGCTGCTACTTTAATATGCATTATACAGAGAAGGAAAGAAAATACCATCTAAACTTTCCTAAAGACAGTCAGTCAGTTCCCCTCAGAGATACATTTATATAAACTGTGTCGCGATTCATTTAACATCTCAACCGATTTGAATCATCACGTATTTGCATCGATTTTCAACCAGCTCGAGATGCATCGTTGCATCCCTAGAAAATAGGTAACGCATTGTGAATAAAACAATCTGAAATAAACATGATTAACAGAATGGCTCATTGAATTGAGTTGTTTGTGAAAGATTGTTTACAGACGCTGTATCTTTGTCTTCAATGAGCAGATTTCCATTAGCTGATTGGGAAAGTATATACCTTGCTTTAATTCTGCTTATTCTGGTAACAGCTGTTTTGAACCATGACTGATTAAAGGTTCATTTTTTATTTATTTAAAACAGCTTTGTTGCAGTAAGGTTACTTGTGTGATTGAACTATTTGAATGACTTATGTCTGTATGACTTTCAGATATCTTGGAGAGCAATGTGATGACATGAACTTTGCTAATGGAGATGGCTGCTCAAACCAGTGCAAGAAAGAGCTGTTGTTCAACTGTGTTGGTATGTGATCGTCACCTATAGCCAGAAATATTAAAAGAATAGTTCAAACATAAATTAAGTCTTTATTTAGCCTCTTGTCATTCCAACTCATATATGTGACCCTGGAGCACAAAACCAGTCTTAAGTCGCTGGGGTATATTTGTAGCAATAACCAAAAATACATTGTATGGGTCAAAATTATTGATTTTTCTTTTATGCCAAAAATCATTAGGATATTAAGTAAAGATTATGTTCCATGAAGATATTTTGTTAATGTCCTACTGTAAATGTATTAAAACTTAATTTTTGATTAGTAATATACATTGCTAAGAACTTCATTTGGACAACTTTTAAGGTGATTTTCTCAATATTTAGATTTTTTTTGCACCCTCAGATTCCAGATTTTCAAATAATTGTATCTCGGCCAAATATTGGCCAATTGTATCTCGTCCTATCCTAACAAATCATACATCAATGGAGAGCTTATTTATTCAGCTTTCAGAGGATGTATAAATCTAAAAAATTGACCCTTACTTCTTTTTTTGGTCCAGGGACACATATGTATTATTTTTTCTAAAGGAAAACAAAGGTCGAATTTGTGACGGTTCATAGTGACCAGTTTGTGCCTGCTTCTCACACAAAGCTATTGTATGACTTCAGATAACTTGAAATACAGTGCAGTAGTATTATGGTTCTTTAAGTTTTTTTTTGCTTGGCAGACATGGTCAGGCATTATATGAAAACATAGACACTAAAGAATCATTATGCAGCTCTTTTCCATACTATGACACTCATTTGTGTAAGGCGTAAATATACATATAAAATTATAAAAAGAATACAAGCATATGTGTTTGGAATGACATGAGAGTGAATAAATAATGACAGAATTTTTAAATGCTTATTTTTAGTGCTATTTTAACAAGAAAGTACAATAAAGTAAAGGTATATAAAGTGTAGCATTAGTTTGATTAATGTTTTGCTCCAGCAGTATTTAGCTGTATTGCACATTACTTCTCAGCACTCCATTGATGTCAGTTCTGCCCGGTTGCCCAGCCATCAATCTCATGGCTTCAGCCTGTCATCAGTGTCACACGACAATGTCTGAAAGACCAAGAAAGTTCTGTTGTACTATTCCTTTATAGCACAAAACTTGTTAGCTGGTTGTGATGTTAATGGAGTGCTTTAAGTTGTGAGCTAATCAGTTCTGTCAAAACAATTGGCCGCATAATTGGACCCTCTTACGGACATTTAAGTCCCCTCACAAAAGACTTTACTCTTTGCTGTAGAGCTCTAAGATCTGCCTAATGAGCACTAGCAAACCTTTGTGGCACTTCTTCCTGTTAGCAGTAATGCAACAATCCCCTTTTCTTCTAAACGTGTGGACGGAAAGCTGGAGTAGAGTAAAAAAGACAGAGAGAAGAAAAGGAGGCAGCAAAGAAGAACAGATAAGAAGGGCTTTTTGAAGTTCGCTGTTGAATGAAGCCAACATTCATCTAGCTGAAGTCTTGTCTGACCTCTAGGACACCTCTGGAAGTCTGAGGTTGCACTAGTACACACAGTGCTTAATTGGCAGTTCAGTTTTTTTTTTTTTTTGGCATAGGTTCAATGAGTTCATCCTTCACTGCCTTAAAGGAACAGTTCACACAAAAATGAAAATTAGTCATTTACATCAAAAATGCTAAAAAGAGAGTAAAAACAATAAACGTCATAGAGAAATCATGAATTAATCTTTTTCTAAACGTAGCTTTTTCGAACAGTGCCTTGACAGTGCACACTTTAATTACATGATGTAGCCTATTACAGTGTCCTCAAAAATCAAGTATGAGTTTTTGTATTGTATTTAGTTTGTACGATATAATAAAGCATTCAAAAGGGGGTTTTCACAGCAGTACCATAGAAGAACCATTTTGGAATAGTTGGAATAGTAACTATTCTTAAGTGACTAGTTCTTAAAAAAAAATGTTTTCTTTCTTTTTTTTCTTGTGAAGAATATTTTAATAATCTAAGGCAGGGGTGCCCAACCCTGCTCCTGGCGATCGACTGTCCTGCAAAGTTTACCTCCAACTCTAATCAAAGACACCTGCCTTTAATTTTTAAGTGATCCTGAATACCCTAATTAGTTGCTTCAGGTGTGTTTGATTAGGGTTGGAGCTGAATTTTGCAGGACAGTCGATCGCCAGGAGCAGGGTTGGGCACCCCTGATCTAAGGAAACATTCTTCACTGCAAAGAACCTTTAGTGCAATGGAAGGTTTCCATGGATGTTAAAGGTTCTCCATGGAGCCATCAATGCCAGTAAATAACCTTTATTTTGAAGAGTGTAGTTAAGCAATATCGCACAAGCAGGTCTGCTGTTTTTATCAGCACAATTGAAAATTATATTGATTTTTTTGCAACAGACGAGTTAAAGCGTTAGTTCACCCAAAAATGAAAATTAGGCTGTGTTTTACTCACCCCCGAGGCATCCTAGGTGTCTATGACTTTCTTCTTTCAGACGAATCCAGTCGGAGTTACAGTGGTGTGAAAAAGTTTTGGCCCCCTTCCGGTTTTTTTAATTTTTTGCATATTTGTCACACTTAAAAGATTCAGATCATCAAACAAATTTTTATATTACACAAAGATAATGCAAGTAAATACAAAATGCAGTTTTTAAATGATTATTTATTTTATTAAGGGAAAAAAGCTGTCCAAACCTACCTGGCCCTACGTGAAAAAGTAATTGCCCCCTAAATCTAATAACTGGTTGTGCCACGCTTTGCAGCAACAACTGCAATCAAGTGTTTGCGATAACTGGCAATGAGTCTTTCACATCGCTGTGGAGGAATTTTGGCCCACTCTTCTTTGCAGAATTGTTTTAATTCAGCCACATTGGAGGGTTTTCGAGCATGAATGGACTGTTTAAGCATCTCAATCGGATTTAAGTCCCGACTTTGATTTGGCCATTCTAAAACCTTAATTTAGTTTTTCTTGAGCCATTCAGAGGTGGACTTGCTGGTGTGTTTGGATAATTGTCCTGCTACATAACCCAAGTGCGCTGGAGCTTGAGGTCACAAACTAATGGCTGGACATTCTCCTTTAGGATTTTCTGATAGAGTGCAGAATTCATGCTTCCGTCAATTATGGCAAGTCGTCCAGGTCCTAAAGCTGCAAAGCAGCCCCAGACCATCACACTACCACCACCATGTTTGACTGTTGGTATGATGTTCTTTTTATGAAATGCTCTGTTGGTTTTACGCCAGATGTAACGGGACACACACACCTTCCAAAAAGTT